GCCTGACCCAAGCCATGGTATTTTCAATAACCTCATATGGATGCGAACGCTGGACAGTGAATAAGGAAGATCGTAGAAGATAGTAGAAGAAGCCTTTGAGTTGTGGTGTTGGAGGAGAATATTGAAAGTGCCATGGACTGCCAAAAGAACCAATAGATCTGTTTTGGAAAGAATGTCATGCTGGGTAAGATGGATGGTCGGAGAAAAAGAGGAAGACCCCCAACGAGATAGATTGGCCAGGTGGCAGCATTGATGCACTCAAGTGTGGCAGCGGTAGTGAGGCTGGTGCAGGATTGGACATTGTTTCGTTGTGCTGTGCATGGGGTCGCTATGAGTTGGTTCCGACTTGATGGCACCTGACAACAGATCTCATTTACAACAGCATTAAATGCAAGGGTCTTCAAAAAACTAACAAAAAAATGAAATAAAAAAGAGTGGATTTTCCCACAAACTTTCTGAAGTCCGCTTGTATACATGCACAAAAGATATCTAAGAATTAAGTTAATGAGCAAGTGAGGAAAAATATTCAAATAACTGCAGAGTCAGATCATGTTCTTGTAGTGTTGTGGTAATTCTTCCAAAATCAATGCATAAATGTGTGGCGCTGTGGGCTAATACACTGGGCTGCAAAGTGGGTTTGAACTGCAAGGTTGGTGGTTCAAGCTCACCAGCCACTCCTCGGAAAGCCTATACAGTGTCTCTATGGGTAAGAACTAATAGCATTTAGCAACAACAATTCTTCCAAAATTAATGCATAAACATAAATATTAATGCAAAAACCCAATGGAATTTCTTTTTGACAATAGACAATATACTGTAAAGTTAGGCTAGTACTTTGTGTTTTTGGGAATTCTAGTTGGATTTTAACTCTCTGAGTATTCATTAGTCAGGATAACCTAGGTTGGCAATATGGAGTGAAAAGGGTACCAAAATAGGGCAAAATTATATCTGAGGGGAAAAACTGGAAACATTAAAAAACTTTAAAAGGATCTCTGGTGGTAGTCTGAACCCACCAGCAGCTCTGACAGAAGAAGGATGAGGGAGTCCGCTTCCTTAAAAACTTAGAACCTCGGCAACCCTAGCGAGAAGTTCTACTCCATCCTAGAAGGTTGCTGTACGGTGGGTTTGCTCTTGATTTTGGTTTTGTAATAAGCAATACTGCCCTCTCCCACTCCACATGTGGTCAGGGGAGTACTGTGCACAAGCTAATGAAATGCTCGTTATCAAGTTTATATACACATACCTCATTTTATTGCACTTTTCTTCACTGTACTTCACTGATAATACTTGTTATAAATCGAAGGTTAGTAGCAACCTTGAGTCTAACAAGTGTACTGGTGCCACAGCATGTGCTCACTTCATGTCTCTGTTACTTTTCTTTTTAAATGATATTAGTGCTACGTTGTCAGTTGCCATCAAGTTGGTTCCGATTCACAGCGACCCCATGTACAACTGAACGTTACATTACACTGCCCGGCCCTGCACCATCCTCACAATTGATGCTATGCTTGAATCCACTCTTTTAGACAAAGTGTCAGAACGTGTCACTGAGGGTCTTCCAAGCAGAACAGTCTCCATGGAGCCCCCGTGCCACTTGCAGCACTGTGATAGCTGTCTCCTTGGGGTACACTCAAGCCAGTGTTACATTTGAGTAATTCTCACAATATATGAGAGCTTTCCATAATGCTACTGCACATTTAATAGACTACAAAAAAATTCACATGATACAATTTATTGATATTCACTTTACTGCAGTTGTCTGGAACCAAACCCTCACAACCTCCAAGGTTTGCCTGTACTTTCTTAATAGACATTAACTTTGCTTTTGAATAAAGTCCAAGAATAATTTAAAGAATACTTTTATCATGAATCTGAAAGTCCGACCAAGAGAATATTTAAATAAGTGATATTACAACTATAGGGGCATATGTACAGTTAACATAAATGAAGTTATTAAAGAATTCTTAATGGCAAAGGACAGTACGGTTAAATGACTAAAAAGATACAAGATGGTATTTTTAGTAAAATCACAATCATGTGTTTAGATATATACAAAAAGGAGTCCTGGTGTGGCACTGTAGGATAAGCACACACCCTCAAGATTGGTTTGAACCACAAGTTCAGGGGTTCAAACCCACAAGTCGCTCCCTGGAAAACCTACACAGGGTCTCTATGAGTTGGAACTGACTCAATGGCACTAACAACAACATACAGGAAAATGACAAGGCATGAAGCTGTGGATACTGGTTAGTCTTTGGCTTATGATTTGCTAGTCTTTAAATGTTTAAATGCAAGTTTTAAAAACCTATCAGAAAGAGACATACAGTTTACAAGAAATATTTGAGTCTAAATATAACAACATCATGTTTCAGCAAAAACTGAAGTATACCTGTTCATTGTCCCTTGTGTGTGTTCCTGTAGAAAGCCGATCCATAATTTTTTCATTTCCAGTTCTTAATGAAGTCTCCACAAGGTACTCCTTCACTTTGCTCTCTAAAACCACACCAGGTCGCCAAAGTAACTGGTCTTCATTTTCATTCACTGGTAAAGAACATTAAAAATAGTGATGACACACATCAACTCTTCTTCCTCTTTCTTGATACATTATGCAGAGGGGCTAGTAAATAACTTTAAAGGCATAAGCATTATGATTATCACGCAAGTAGAGTCTTTCATTAGTAAGAGTTTTAAAAAGTCCTTTTAAATATTATTATGAGTTCCAGTGGTAAGAGTAAGTAGCTTTATCATGGCTAGATTTACTGACCAATCAGAAAGCTTTACATGCCTAGTAAAGTCTAATAGAAAATCCAGTAGCTATATCTTATAATCTTATAATGAAGGAGTAAAAATAGCCTATGTGTATTCTTTAACAACCTCATTTAAATTTTAAATTGAGATCCCTAATCACAAAAAGCAAAAAGGTCATCTGCCAATAATAAAAACCATTATCCATTATGAATTTCCAAAGCTGTTTAATCAGAACTTCCTAGGGAGGTTTTAGAAAGAATGATAAGCAGTCAGAGAAATCAACTTTCTATGATCTCTTAAAAGAGGCTGATACATTAGTAAACAAAAGCATCACTAAAATCAGGTTTACAGTTTATTAAAGGACACACCAGCGACCTTACTCAAAGCCACTACAATAAAGTCATCTGGATGGTCCAACCATCACCCCACTGTTGCCCATGCAACCCATTCTCCAAGTCTATGATAACTACTAAATACATCTGCGAAGAATCTTGTATTGAGAGCTTCCTAAATAGCAGGGACTGTAAGAAGTGCTTTATTGTTCAGCATTTAAGAGGCAAGGATGATCATTCCGACTTAGCAGCAAAGTGAAAACCACATTGCCTGTGAAGCAACAGGATAAATTTTTTCAGAGAGGTGTGTGGGGCAGAGATTATTATCTCCTAAGGTCCTACTGAGTTTGGACTGGGGCGGAAGAGGGTGAGGGCTGTATGTGCTATTTGGATGGTGGACAGAGAGAGAGAGGCTGGGGCATCTGAAGCCAGTCAGCAATTGTCCCCCATCATTCTGAAAGTAGGAGAACAGTTTTTCTGGTGGCTGCTCAGGCTAATGACCCAAGGGTACCAGTCTCTTCTCCTTTAAATGGGAAATGGCCTGGCACAGAGGAGAGGAATGGACTCAGAGAGCCGGGTTTGCTGTGCTGCTTCCAACCTCCTACCATCAGAAGATCAGATCAGGGAAAAGGCCCAATACCCATGGGACGATTCCAAACTGACTTGGTTTTTGAGTCCAGCTAGGACAGCTCTGGTAGCGCAGTGGTTACGAACTGGGCTGCGAATCTCAAGATCAGTAGTTCGAAACTACCAGCTGTTCCATGGGAGAAAGATGAGGCTTTCTGCTCCCGTAAAGATTTACAGCTTCGGAAACCCTGTACTGGGTCACTATGGGTCGGAACCGACTCCACGGCACATGACAACAGCAAGGACGGCATACTTCATTTTTTTGCCTATCATTACATCCCTACGTATTTTCAGAACCAACTAGAGTTGACCTCTACCAAAAAATGTTAAGAAAAACTGAGTACATTCAGTATACCAAGTAAGGCTGTAAGGTGCAGCTAAAGCAGTCAAATCCTTACACTGCTCCTCCTGTACTTTTAGGGCTAGAGCAAGCAAGTGTTTTCCATTTTATTTTTTCCTCAAGAGTTTTCTTTCCAAAAGGATTATACCCCTGGCGTTCTCATTCTTCCAGTGATGAGACTGAGTCCTTTTCTATAGGAGCAAGATGTGGGCCAGGAGATTGCGACTTAAAAAGAGTTTATCAGGTGCAGAGCATACTGACTAAGAAGCACTTAGACTAGCAGGTGGGTCTCAGATTCACACAGTTAATTTGAACAGTTTTCTTAAGGCAGGCCTGAATAACCCACCTTAGAAGTTAACCCTGATCCTAAATTGATCTTTATACTGCTTTGGTTGATAGGCAATCAGATATTTAAAGAAACAAATTTATGGGTCTAGTGAACATTACTGAAATCAAAAGACTTCCTTACCTTTTTCATTTCCATCATACTCTCCAAGATAAGGGGGAATCTCTGCTTGATATTGTAAACCAACCATAATTTCCTACAGGAAAATTAAAAAGTAAAAATAATTCACTGTAAAAATAAATAACTGTTTTTAGCCTCACTCAATGACTGGTTACTATAAGTCAAAAGAAACTTGATCTTGCAACAACAAAATTACCTTAAGTTCTTTTAGAAATAATTCCTTAGAGCTACATGAGTCCACATGATCTATTAAGTTATGAGAGTGTCTCACCTTCCTCAGATCTTCAGGTGAGTTACCACTGTCTGTTTCAACATCTTCAACTTCTGATTCCTTATCCCCATCACATGTAGTGTTTGCTTAAAAAAGGAAAAGAAAAGAAAATTTAAAAATTTAAAAAGGTTTTGATGGCCTATTTTTGCAGCACCTGGTATTCTGTAAAAATGTGTTGAATCAATTAGCTCAAAGTTGTTGTTAAGTGCAGTCTAACTGGTTCCGACCCACAGTGACCCTGTATAGAATTTCCAAGGAATAGCTGGTGAGCTTGAACCACCAACCTTGCAGTTCAAGCAGCTTTTCAGTCTGGCGCATTAACCCACAGTGCCAGCTCAAAGTCAATATACTAAATCTCTTGCATTGCTCTCATGTTTCTGTAGTCAGAAGAAGATGCTGAAAACACTAAAAAAGTGTATCAGACCCTTAAAATTGGGACGGTGTACTGTTAATAGTTGGTTTTCTTAAACAGAATATAAAGCATCGGGGTTCTGATTACACTAAGCCAGAAGGATCCACACACAGAGCTTCCATCTAAGGTGGTCACAACTGTGTTTTCAAGTGCATGTGCAAAATATATGTATTTGAATTTGTTAACTGAACAGTTCTTCTACCATAAGAAAACCTTAAAAAGATAAATGAGATCTAGTCCTATACTGTGTATAAGGAATTGCTATTTCAGTTCAAAGCCTTTTCTTTTATTTTGAGGAGGTGGGGGGGGCATACTTATGAATATAGATTTATTCTAAGACAAAGGATGCCAATAAAGAAATGCATAAGGCAAAGCCTAGGAGAATTCCCACCTCAGAGTCTCCTTGTCCTAATGAGGACATGCTAGCCACTCACCAGGAAACCAACAGAGCTTTCCTGTCCAGAGCCTTTACTGTGCCTCTTTAGGTACTTCAGATCTTTGTAATTATTACTGAAATCCCTCAAAGGATAGCACAAAGATCTATGAGAAAAAAAGTTTTCTTAGAGAGTCAAATGGATAATTATAGATAAAAAGAAAACCTTTTTGAGCACTGATAGCTTTCAAAACCAGGAGAGCAGGAGCCATGTAACAGATACCAAAACAATGTTTCTATAAAATTTGACAGTTGCATTAAGACTGGTTACCATAGTAATAGATGAGTCTTGGGAAAGAAAATAAAGAGCTTTGGAAAACGAAATGAATGTGTTAATTTTGAAATAGCATATCAATTCACCTAAATCCCACTGTTGTTCAGTGCCTTTGAGCTGGTTCCAACTCATAACAACTTTTTATCAGGTTTTTGGGAGTGGCTAGTGGATCTGAACCACGGACCCTGTGGTTAGCAGTCCAGTGCTTATCCTACAGCTCCACACCTGGATTCCATAATGAATGACTTACATGATGGAGGTGGCAACTGTGTGCCGTGGAGTCAATTCCGATTCATAGTTAGTCACACCACCTCTATGTAGGGTTTCCAAGTCTGTAAACCTTTACGGGATTTCTGACGCTGTGGTTACGAGTCAGGCTACTAACCCTACAGTCAGCAGTTCGAAATTACCAGGAGGCTTTCTGCACCCGTAAAGAATTACAGCCTCGGAAACCCTATACAGGGTTGTTGAGTCGGAACCGACTCCACAGCACACCACCACCTACCACCAAATCTTTATGGGAGCACAAAGCCTCATCTTTTTCTCGAGGAGTGGTTGGTGGATTCAAACTGCTGACCTTGTGGTTAGCAGCCCAACATGTAACCTACTATGCCATGAAGGCTCTATATCCCGCTAAGAAAGTTATAATTTTGTTCGTATTATATTAGTATTTTGTTTCACTTAAGTAAAACACTTAGAATATTTTGACATAAGCTACTGAACGGAATAGAATGTCCTCAATGCTACAAGTAATCGGTAATGACCCGGCTCTTACATCGCAAAGGTCTTGGGAAGAACTCAGAAGTCTCATGGGGAGTCACAGATGGTGTCAGATCATCTGCAGAAGACTGAGTCTCCTCATCATCACCTGATAACAGATCTTTTGCTATTTCCTCCTAGAAGAGTAGGAAGGCAGTGTTAAGAATTAGGAATTATTGTATCTAATTAATTAAGAAAAGTGTGCTTCTCGGAAAAAGGCCCTTCAGTTTGGAGAAAAGTACATTTGAAATTATCCTATAATTTACTTCATGTGCAATAGTTATTTAATAACATTTACATTTAGTGACATATTTAATAACTATACTCCATTAGATATATTTACTAACTATATACTATTGTACACTGATGCTTGTCACAGAAACAATTTGCTTAATTTGTGGGTGTGCTGAGTTTACCTAAAGAATCGCAAGCTAATTCTTACCGAATTTATAAACGAAAACAAAATGTGACTTCTAAGTGATTAATAATTATACCCACTTTTTGTCAACAGAAATAAAACAAAACTGGAAAACAATGCCTCCAAACTCCACTCTTCCAACAATTTGACAGAATTTTAAAAGCATCAAGTTTGAATTAGCATTTATGGACGTCTCTAGTCATCCTTGCGCCTGGTACACAGACATGCATATTGCTGTCGTGTGGTCATTAAAGTATGTGGTACATTGACAGCACATCTGACTGCCAAATGTTTGTCACCAAAAGTGGGAATGATGTAACTTTCAGGGAGAAGATCCAGGCTGAGGATTCCTTTCCTGGCCTGAGATCCAAATGGCAGGGAAACTTTCCAGGGAGGGAGAGCCCCACCGGCCCCAGTGGTCTGTTAGCAGAGACTGGAGTTGTGTGGATTTTGATCAGCAGGGCCCAGGCCTCCCCACCAGCAGCCCATGTGAGGAATATACCACTCTGGTTTCGGCTGCTAACGCTGCCTTAACTCCCAGAGACCAAGAATTCAGAACTTTTCTCCAACTACCCAACTAAAAAGTTTGGGTTTGAAGGCTTCTAAGGGATTTTGAAGTCAAAAGAAGTTTAGACAAAATCTAAGTTTAGATACAAAGTGTTTGCACAGGAAAGAGGAAAACATTGCCAGTAAAAACTTCAGCCATTCGAAGTCTTAGGAAGCTACTACTTCACTGCAAGTAGTACAAAGCCCAACATTGTTTATTTAAATTAACCAACTAAATTATCAGGGCGGTGGGTCAGTAAGAAGTTTACATTTCAGAAAAATGCTAAGTTAAGGGGATTACAAATGAAATACAGTCCAAGATAAAATAGATTCCGAATTTTCCTTTTAAATGCTTGTACTTACTTTGTCTAGCGTCATATCTGGCAGCTCATCTGCAAGTTCACTTGGGGAGCTATTTGCACTGGAATTTGCAACTGCTGGAATGGAAGGTTCGTAGCCATAGAACGCCAGTAAATCTTCTAGAGGCATGCTTCCTTCCTAGCCAAGCCAGGGCACAAACACAAATTCAGTAAGCTGTCACAAGACTGGGAGGCCCTACATGTTCTTAAAGTACATGGTCACATCAGCAGTACCCACAAAGCCAACACGTAGTTTATCATTTTGTACTACTGCCAGAAAACAGCACCAAAGACCTAAAGCTATAACAACCAAAGCCTAACAATTTACTTTACTTTTTATTTTCCAGCATCATTTCACTTTTCAAAAATTCCCAAACATTTTTTTTGTGCAAAATTAAAAACAAAAAACTTCACCTTTGTATAAAAATTGGCCTTAAAAACATTTCCAATTAACCGATCGATCACTGCAGCTTGTTTCCTTTGTAGTTAACAGCTGACTACTTGGTTTTTTCTTCAAATTAATTAGAAGATTTCTAACTGAAACCTTTACTGAATATTTATTAATACCAGCAATTTATACTTAACAATCAAAACATAATTTTACCTCTTTTATCATCATGCTACAATATCTATTATATTTCATGCCAGTTCTCCCAAAGGCCTCAAAGTCATCGGCTGTGGAGGTGGTGGTGGTGTGCCGTGGAGTCGGTTCTGACTCAGCAACACTGCATAGGGTTTCCAAGGCTGTAAGTCTTTACGGGAGCAGAAAGCCTCATCTTTCTCCTGAGGAATGCCTGGTAGTTTCGAACTGCTAGAAGCTTCTATGTGACCATTATGTTACAGGTGAGAAAACAGAAGCTTAGTTCTAAGTGCGAATCCCAGGCCCCACTGCTCTTACTGGCTGCTCTGCATGGTATTATGTGTTAGACTGCCAACCGAAAGTTCAGCAGTTTGAGTCCATCAGGTGCTCTGTGGGAGAAAGATGAGGCTTCCTGCTATGAGTTGGGGTCAACTCCACAGCACACCACTGCTGCCACCACCACCTCCACATGAAGTTTGAGAAGTGGCCAGTCCTCTGAAGAACAATCCAAGAGAAGACACACAACACACAAAGTCTGAAGATGGTTTCCCACGAAGCCACATGGTCTGAGTACAGGAGTATGGCCCAAGGGAGAATGGAAAGAGAGAAGGGGGCAGATCACGAAGGCCTTCATGTCAGGGAAAGAACTTGGACTGTATTTGCAGGGCAATGGGAAGTCACTGGAGGGTTCTAGAAAGGAAGGGGCATACCTGTATCTCTTCTTAAATACCACACAGCTGATAGAAGATAAGTTCGGGGGTGTAGGGAGAAACAGGAGACCACTTAGATAATTCATGCTACGATTAGTGGGAGAGACATGGAGAGATGTGAACAGATGTGATATAGTTTGGATTATCCCCCCATGTAATAACCCATCTTGATTCCAAAATGGGTTATTATATGGGGGGATAAAAGGAAAAGGGGGAAGGAAGACCCTTCAGATTTGTATTTGAGCAATTGTCTAGTGTTACCTTTTACTGATATCCAAAAGACTAAAGGAAGAAAAGGTTTTAGAAGCAAATAAAAACAAAACAAAAGCCAACCAGAGTTCTGCAGAAGACACATGTAAAGTTTGAGAGGACTAGGAAACATCCAAGTGGAAAAGTCAAGTTGGCCAGGAGCCTGGAGCTAGGAACTGGCTAGGCTTAAGATACAAATCTGGCCTTCATTAGCAAGTAGATGATACTTAAAGCCACAGGAGTTGACCGGCTCACCCCAGGGAGAGGGCCCAGAGAAAAGGAGAAGCCGATCAGTGCTTTATTAGAACTTTTGGATATATTACTCTTTATGTAATCGGATGTGTCTAGAAATATTTAAACATGATTTGCATTTTAGAAATACTAATCTAGAGCCTAGTGGTTATGAGTCAGTCTGCTAACCTCAGGGTCAGCAGTTCAAAACTACTAGCTGTTCTACGGGACAAAGATGAGGCTTTCTGTTCCCATAAAGATTTACAACCTCGGAAACCCTATGCAGGGTCGCTATGAGTCAGAACCAACTCCACAGCACATAACCACCATCACCATTCTAGAAAAAACAGAGGAATGAGAACCTTAACTACGGAAGGAAACTCTCTGAGAGAAATTTCAAGAAAAAAAATCTACTGTATGCTGACTTACCTGATATTAAGAAGTAAATGAAAGACACACAGCAGTCTAAACAGATTGGCAGATTTATGGTCAGAGAGGATAGGATCTACAGCACCATTATGAGACTGAAATACCAGAGGCTGTTGGGTAAAATGGTGGATAATGAGTTTATGATCCAATTGGAAGCAGTGGACTTGAATGAGATTACCAAGAGAGTGAGAAGGCAAAAGCTAGAAGCCTAAGAAATGCCATCAATTAAAATGTGGGCAAAGAAAGCAAAGTCATAAATAAGATAGAGGAAAATATCAAAAGTAGAACTGAAAGACAGTTGTTGTTAAGTGCCGTCAAAGTGGCTCTGACTCATAGCAACCCTATATAGGGTCCACGGAGCATCTGGGGGGATTTGAACCACCGATCTTGCGGTTCAAATTGACCTTGCGGTTCAGCGCATTATCCTGCAGCACCACTCCAGGACTCCTAAGGACAGTAGGTTTCTGAAAACTAGGAAGTGTTGAGAAATCAGGCATGGTCAATACCACGGAGAAACAAGAAGATAAAGGCAGGCTTCGTATTTGACAACCAGGAATTATGGGTGATCTCACAGCTGGTGGAAGAAGAAAGCACAGTACACATCTCTGAAGCTTGGTTATGACAGCAGAACAGCTGAGGGCAACACTGGGTCAAAGGGAATGTCTTTCAAACAGGAAACATGTGAAATGGAAAAAAAAAATCAGTAGAAAGATAAACTTAGGTCAGAAGGGATTAGACTGCGATGTGACAGACACTTACAGGACAGGATGGAAAGATGGAAGAATGAGTATAAAGTTAAGGTTGTGGGTGGGAAGAGCAGGAGGTTCTCAGTAGTCACCTCATGAAAACCTCTACTTTTCCCATAAAGACACAAGTGCAATCTGTTGAAGGGGATGGTGGTAGAAACCTTCTAACCAGTCTGAGGGATGGCACCATGTCCACCCAGAAAGTGCTGGAGCTAAAACAGACACTGTCTGTGCAAAAACTTCTTAAGCAAAAGTGGAAAACTTGAACCCGGCTTCTAAAGAACTTCACAAATGAGATTTCTATTAGCGTCTAATAAGAAAATATTAGTCCAAAACTTTTCAAGTACAAAAATAATTTTTAAAAATTGAATTTGTAAATCTTGAAGTCTGAGATTAGATGGTACTCGGATCAACTTAGAAATCTGACCCAGCACTTTATCTCAGGTATATGAATTTTTTTGTTTTTTTCTTGGGTATTTCATTGAATCTATTTAAGCTTTAAGGGGCACCTTTGAGTCTAGTCACATTTATAAACAGACTGTTTTATGAGGTGAAGAGTTAGGCACAGAAAGCATGAGATTTGGAGACTAATGGCTAGCTATTACCCTGAACAAGGAAGTGCTCAGTGGCTCCATATGATAAGCCCTGGACTGCAAACCACATGGTCCACAGTTCAAGCCTGCCACCTGCTCTGCAAGAGAAATATGAGACTTTCTGCCCCCTCAAAGAGATAAAGCCTCAGAAACCCTACAAAGGGTTATTATGAGTCGGAAACTGACACAATGACATGTAACAACATGATATACAAGGAAAGTTCAAAAAGTTCATGGAAAAATAGAATTAAAAGATAACGTGATTTTCCCATGAATTTTCTGAAGTTCCCTCATTTATCATTACATATAGAAAATCAAAAGGGGTCATGGAGCTGACTCTGACTGGTTACCGCCCGACAAGTGCTCCAAAGGGTTTTCAAGGCTGTGACTGCCACAGACTACCAGGTCTGTCTTCTGAGGCACGTCTGGTGGGCCTAAACCAGTAACCTACTGGCAAGTAAGCAAACACTCAACTTTGGCCCGCTCGAGAATACAATCTCACCTTAGCCATGGTGTTTCTACACCGTACACCTTATAATCACCATGGCTCCTAGGCCAAAAAAATCACACTATGGTCTGACTGACACACCTGAAGGGGTTGCTGAATGGATCAAATGAAATCACCTAAGTAAGACATTAATCAAATTTAGTGACAAATATAATAGCTGGTAGCACAGTGGTTACAAATCAGGCTGCTAACCTCAAGGTCAGCAGTTCAAAACTACCAGCTGTTCTGAGGGAGAATGATGAGGCTTTCTGTTCCCGTAAAGATTTACAACCTCAGAAACCCTGTGGAGGGTCACTATGGATCAGAACTGACTCCATGGTACTTAACAACAACAACAATAGCCGTCAAGACACCTAAAAAAGAAACTGGAAAAACAACATACCTATCACCTTTCTTTCATTCAGCTCAAAAAATTTTAAATGAAGAACCTACGCTGAAACCTAAGTGACAGAAAAGATATTTTATCTATGCTTTTCTAAATTTTTGCAACTTCCCCACGATGTACAAGGCGTGGGGGAATCTCTATATTAAAGAGCAAAAGAGTGGAAAAAACTATTTTTTTTTAAAGTTTTAATTATAAGTCTAGGACTCTTAAATTACAGCCACTTATAAAATAGTAGCACGAAAAATTTAAAACATGTAAGGCATATGCAATAAATCTAATTTTGTTATGTTTAGTAACTAAAGTCTAGTTACATAATCTATACTATCTACAACAAAGTAATTTTTTATAAGAAAGCTGATTTTGTGACTCTCTTATTTTCCATACCATGTGCTATACAAAATAGTTTATCAGCACAATTTAGACTATATTTTTAGTCTATAAAAATATTATATAAAAACATAATTTTTGTAAATGAATATTAACACCAATCCATAAGGCTATTTAACATGTTTTTGTTAGGTGATGTCAATCAAGTCAGTTTCAACTGAAAGCCACCCCTATGTACGGCAGAACCAAATACTGACCATCCGAAGCAAGCCTCACAATTGTAGCTGTTTGGATTCAGTTTGCAGCCAATGTGTCAATCCATCTCATTGAGGATCTTCCTTTGTCTCGCTGATCATCTACTTTACCAAGCATGATATCCTT